TTAATTAAAACAACAGAGAAAACTTAAATTTGGAATATCATGATGCAATCTGGATCGTCCAAAAAGATCTTCGTATCACCGACAATGTTCTTGATTACTATTAGAAAATTTTTCCTTTTTGCAACTTGTGTGTATTAAACTATATAATTAACCAAGTTTAATGCAAGCATGCATGGCTTATGGTTTTTATTATCTCTATTATTGTTTAAAAAATTCATCATATATACCTCTCCGACAGACTTTCTAGGTTTTTTTTTTTTTTTTCTTTTTTTTTTTAAATTCAAACTTCAATTATGTGGACATCCTTTTTTTTTTTTTTTTAAATTCAAACTTCAATTATGCGGACATCCTAATTATTTTTAAAACTTATACTTGAACTCCTATCAACTCTTGTATATAAGAAGTGATCGAGAATTGAAGTTTAGAATTTTCAGAGAGAATCTTATATAAACATGTTTAATCTATGATTTATTAAGAGGGTCTTATATTAGTGTGTTTTTTATATGATCTTTAAGAGCGTAAATAAATTTCATTGATCTCTTTTAAAATTTATTCAAAACTCGAGCAAAGTCGATGAAATTTTTCTTTATAGAAAGGTGAAATATATATATATACACTTCAAAATAATTTTTTTATCATAATTTTGCAAATTAAAAAAATCTCTCAGCTTTATTTTTCTTATCAATTGATTATTCTTCAAAAGAAAATTATTTTCATAATTATTTTGATTATAACTTTACTGCCAATTAAAACCCTTAGCTTTAACCATACAAAAGATCCCAATTAGGTATAACCACCAATATTTTAACTACTTTTTTTAATATTTTCTTTAGGCATGATTATTCTATATATAGAAAGCATGAAACTAAGATATAATCATTTAGATGGATGACTCATATATACATATTTTATGAAAGTTAATTCTAATACGTGTCACGGTGAATACTACCCTATTGAATATATTAATATGATATTAAAAAAAAAATCGAAGCCCATGGTATTAGATGGTTGTAATAAACAGTTATGCATCTGAAAAAGAACCGTAACAGATATTTCAATTATAAAATTTGTGTTAGATAAGTTAAATGAAAAATATAAAACAGTAAAGGTGTATTATTAATCAAATTAACATTTAAAATTAGTAATATAGGACAGTTATAATATATATAATATAGTTACGCGTCATAAGAAGAACGATGGTGTTAGATAAGTGAAAGAAAGAGTAAAAAATTGAAAAGATGCTAAAAGAAGCAAGCCTGTCCCAACAAGGAAAGATAAAGAATGTTGAAAAAACACAAAGTGGTCCAAAGGGCTGTGAGCATCATAGTTCACACTTTTATAAAATATTCTTCATTGTGACTAGTCACCATCCCTTTTATCATATTTCCTTCATTCCAATATGAATAAATTAATACACAATAGAAATGTGAAGAAAATTTAAATTTCTTGGAAGTGTCCAGAGATAGATTTTGGTCCATGATATAATTGTGATAAAGATAGTGACTAAGACAACCACAATGAGAGGGGTTAATTCAATTTCCCCCCTTGAGGTTTCCTTCAATAAATTTCCTCCCCTGATATTTGAAATAATAATATACCTACACCCTTTGCTGTTCAATTATGGTTTTGTCAACTAACTAACTCATGGATACTTCCGTTGATCCGTTAAAGTAACACCAATACCCTAACAGAAAACTAGTGATAAAGGGTAAATAGTTGTTTCAGATAATTGAAAAGAAAAACTCAATTCGAAGAAAACTTAGGGGGTAAATTGTATTAAACCATAACATTGATTATAGATTAATTAATTAAGATTTGATAAGAGCACATGAATAATTTAATATAAAGTTGGGAAATGTATCAAAGCTTTATGGGTAGAGTCAAAGGAGGTTTAGCAAGTAAACCCCTTTAGGTGCATTGTTAAAGAATTTATCTTATTTTATAAGTGTAGAAGATTCCTAAACAATAAGGATTAGAAGACTTTGGAAAACCATGCACATTCATTGCACTAAGATGCCCTTTTTTATAGAGAAAACAATAATATATACCTAAAAGCAACAATGAAAGTGGCAATCTTGACTTAAAAATTAGGCCTAATCAATGAAAAAAAAATAGATAACTATTATAGATATTTTTGTTGAAGTCTAAGCTAGGAGAAACCTAGCTATTTTGACCTTTAGAAGATGCACTAATATTGGAAGATCTTGGTCTTGAATTTTTTTTTTTTTAGTAGCTGAGGTATCAGGTACAATTCTTAGTCAATCCCACCTAATCTTCAAAGCTACGAAACACCCTATAAGTCTAATAGACCAAGGTAATTTACACAAATATGGTAGGTACCTCTCATGCAACTCGAACACAAAACTCTTAGATATAATTAACCTCAATAACTAAGGATCCGTTTGTTTTATTATTTTGGATAGGATTTTTGATATTTTTAGAGTTAGATGAGAATAAAGAGGTAGAATTTAAAAATTAACAAAACCATCTATCTAGATTTGCTAATTTATTAAACACCCCAATATATATATAAATTTTATAAAATAACAAAAACACCCTCCACCCACAGTTGCCAGATTCCAGCCATCACCACCTGAATCTAGAGTTACGGCGCACGACCGGTCGGATCTGACCGTTCGTGTGCCGATATGGCTTTTTCCGGCCAGATCCACCGACCATTTCTGGCCGTCATTGACGACCAGCTACAGCCAAAGATCTGGCCATCAACGACCATATCTTTGGCAATGGATCTAGCCGAAAAATGATAGATCGGCACACTACCGGCCAGATCCAGCTGGTAGTGTGCTATTATACCAGATTCCAGTCATTTTCCAGCGGTGGTGGCCGGAATCTGACAAATGTGGGTGAGTGGGGATGTTTTTATTAATTTTTAAACTCTTTTTGTTAGTGTTTAATTAAATTAATAAATTTAAGGGATTTAAAAATAGTTAAAGAAAATATAATAGTATTTTGAGGATAATAAAACAAACAGTTATTTTAAGGATAGGATTGGAAATATAATATGAAATATGGAAACAAACGGACCCTAAAGGGCTTGCCACCTGAGTCCTGACCACAAGCAGAGAGGTCTATGGCCTTGAATTTGATTGATTAGAAATTTAATTTTTGGCACTTGAGAATGGACAAGTAGTGGATAGTGGAAACCCATTCAACTAATTAGCAAGTTGAAGATTGACATACCCTTTTCTTTTTTTCTCAAGTTAAAAGGGTATTTTAGTCTCCTTATAAAATAATATTAAGATTTATTATGTGACATGTTTTCTACGAGTATACAACGATACATACCAATAACCCTTGTATCATTTTTCTTTTATAAATCACTTTTAAACAATTGGGTTCCTCGTTATAAAGGGTTATTTGTTATATACCCACATATGATCGATTAATTTAAAAACATACCAACAATTCATCAGGAAGGTGGGTTTTTGACACTCGTACAGGAGATTCGAACAATCCCATAATTTTTAATAATTGTATAGGAGATAACCGTGGGTACATTTCAAATTAATCAATTATACAAGGATAACATGACAAATACCTGTAATAAAGAAATGGGACCCATTGCTTCAAGCTCCATGAATGAAACAGTCCAAACTCTGAACACAGTAGCAACCCTGACAGACTGTCAAGTCTAGTCCAGTCTCGTAATAAAGAGACTCTTCACCATCACCACCTTTTCAATAAGCAGAAGTAGAAAGTGGAAAGCAGAAAGCAAAAGTTGAAGAAGTACTTGCAATTGCAAACACATTCATTGCACAGTTCCACTATCTTCTCTTCAGGTTCAGGATAAGAAAGGATTATTCAATTTCACATGCCCCCTTTTACTTGCTTCTGCTTCCAACAATCGATTGCACCAGAAGTACTAAACTCACAACAATAAAAGCAAAAGCAAAAGCAAAAGCAACAAAAACACTCTCTCTTTCTTTTCATTTCAGTTGCTTTTGTTTTGTTGTTTTGTTGCATGTGCTTTTGCTCAGGCAGCAAAAGCTGGTTACAAACAAATACAAAAAGCCTTGAGATGGGGCTTTTTGCTTCTGATATTTTTTCTTCTCAACCATTTCATAATCTATAGAGAATTCCATTTTTATCCTTCTGATTTCGAAAAAGGGAATTGTCTCCTATACAAACAAGAGATGGTGAATGTAATTGATTGATTGAGGCTCATTTGTTAGGTATTGTTTTGGTGTAAGCTTGGTACCATGGGGCATACAAATTTCAGGAGCAAAATTGACCGGTTCATGCACTAACTTTGTGCAAAATTGACAGTTGGGTTGTGGCCAGATGACAAACTGGATTACCAAAGGTCTTGTGTTCAAGTCACACAAAATGACCACCTATCATATTTGTAACTTACTTAATCCATTGGACTTATAAAACATTCAATAGATCTCAAAATTAATTGAGATATGTACAAACTGACTCGAACACTCCAATTACCAAAAAAAAAAAAAATTATAATAACATCAAACTTATACCCATTTAAAAAAAATAAACAAAAAAAGCCCTAAATTAGTGAAATATTGCTAGATTTAAGCTAGTTTTTATTTTTTAAATGTTTTTTTTATTAAGTGAATGAACGTAGTTTAGTTGAAAAAAATATGGGATGTGGAATGGTTTCTTGGGGTTTCGTCTAAGGTATTATAAGATAGTGGAGGCAGATGGGGCCAGTGCCCCACTGGGAGATGCCTCCACTTCAGTCCACTAACGACTCAAATCAACTCCTCTATATTGTATTTTTCTGGGCAGGCAAAGTTAATAGTAATACTACAGTACCATACTTTGTTCATCTGAAAATTACGTAGTCCAGTAAGGCTACCGAACCAGTATTTAAATTATGTCGTTTTAAAAAATTCACCTGCCAACCCATTTTATTTTCTGAAAAATACTGAGTTTGATTTGTTGTTTCTCTTGGATAGTACAAAAGGCTTTGAAGAAGATCTACTGCAATTTTCTTAAGTTTCAGAAAAATTATAAACAAGTTAAGAGTAATTAAAACATTTTCATTAGCTGAAAAATCATCTTACATTTTTATGATACAGTAAGAAAGAACAAAACGACCATGGCGGCACAAAAGATGTTCCATTTGTTATCAAAATAGCTAACAATGTAAGATGATAATCAACTTGACCGGATTTTACTGTACAGCTAACCTGGAAAAGAAACACAGCGACAGATATTGCGTCACCATTCACTCCTCTGATTCCACAAACGAGGCCCAGCAGAATGATTACCGAGAAGAATTTGGTATTATACAAGTTCACAAGAAACATGCTCAAGAAGTGGAAGTTCCTTCCCTCTTCAGAAGTTCCTGAATGTAGTAATGAAATGATATTATATCTAAGGCGAAGAATAAGATTTTAATTATTTTTCTCCATTTCACAAACAATGTTATATACCTGTTTGGTTGCGGCAATTGACAGACGCTGCCTTTCTTTCTTCTCGCGTTGGCATTCTGCACACCAGCTTGAACAATCTTTCTGATATTTCCTTAGCTCACGAAAGACAGAACTGATAGAAGATTGTGATGCATTTCAAAAAACCAAAAACAGATTAGATAATAATTTTAGTCCCAGCTATTAAAATATATGAATGTGCATTAACGTATAAACAACAGAATTACATGAACCATTCCAAGCCAACATCACCATCCTTCATAACAGCACACAAGAAAACATTCACAAATCTAAGCATATATCATATTTCTGTACCACTTATAACCTTGTCAACATGATTACATTCATACCGACAAGATGTTGTTGCAAATTTTCAGGCTTACTACAGCAAAGGGACCAACTAAGAATTTTATACTCCAAAAGCTTTACATTTATTGTTCTATCCATACAAATTGAGGGGGACACATCACAATTTTTTTCCTATTAGTAAAGAAGAAGGGTGATAAATAAGCGTTATAACGCACATCTCACAAGACTCCCTACAAGTTTCAAACCATTTAAACATAAAATACCACAAAATTAGCGAAGCACTGCTGTGATTGAGAAAACCAGGACTTACAATCCAATAAGAGAAAACAAAAAAACATAAGGATATGTAATGACAAGCCCCCACCTTTTGTAAAATATCTTCCAGACTTTTGAAAAACAGAATATTAGTTTAGTTGATACTAGTGGAAAATTGTCAGCAGATCACATGTTCAGATGAGACCAGCCGGTATCCATCATTTCCTATTACTAAGGGATTTTCTACTTTGGCTTTCTAAAATTTTTTGTTGTACTTCCTGGCTAGACCATGTGTTTGGATTTTTGTGCCTAAAATGTGATCCTGGCAAGCGATTTTGAGTCTTGTACCATGCAGGGCCAGTATGGCCCAATTTTCGCCTCTAAGCACGAGCTTAATGCATTACATAAAGTACAGTCACCCTTTTATGAGCATACAAAACCAAAGTTGAATTCTCTTCTTTCCACTAAGCAGCTGATTTAAACAAGAAAGCAATCAAAATTTCTATTGCCCCAATCTAATTTTATGCTATTTAATTCCATAAAATCAGCAACTGAACTGATCTATGTATTTTTGACCAAGAGGAACTGACACCTACAAAAAGCAAAACCCTAGATCTCTAGTACTTTTTTTTGAGAGACATGAACTATTAGAGAGATACCTTCTGCACCATAATAGTAAGTTGACCCGCCAACCAGATGTTGTGGCTCTAGCACCATGCCGGTGGCGACCACGATGAAGAACTGCACGTCCTGGAACATGAGAATAATCTAAAATTTCCTGTAATATATCATAGGGAAAAAGAAAATTTTTCATTAAATAAATACTCGTTAAATTGAAAATATGCCAAAAAAAAGAAAATGACAACAATTTTCTTTATGGCCTCCAAGGTTGTATTAAGTCTATACATTTGACATCTATTAGAATCACAGGAAAGACTGGACACTCATGGTTCAATCTTTTATCTATCTGTTCTTAATGTTTTCAGTTAGGTGGCACTGTAGCCATGAAATGGCTCAAAAGTGAAAATATGACTAAGAAACAACAGTTGAGTGTTGACAGATATCGATACCCCATAAGCGCAGGACCAGAAAGAGAGAAAACCGTGTGTTTACATATGATCACAGGGTCAGTAAATATATATATATATATATATATGATCTACTTCAGTCAAAAGGAATCTGTCTTAAATTTAGCATACCTCTGGCTGAGTTTCTGAATTCACGTGGTGATCACATCGAACGCCTCGAAAGAACAATTCACCACCAGTAAATTCCTTGCCCAAGCAAACATTTAGGCTGACTTCTGAGTCATCTACATGGAAACCTGCAAAAATAAAGCTATTGATATCTCACCAAAGCTTATGAAGGTATAAATGTATTTCACCCAGAGTTTTGAGAAAACCGACAGACAAGGAAAAACATATCAAGTTAAGAAAATAGGAGAAGCTAAGAAGGTTGAAGTAAGCACCTACCAAGTTCAACATCCCTATCCATTCCATATTCAACAACAAAACCATGATGGGAATCCAGCGTTGATCCACCAACTTCAGGAAAGAGTACTACAAAGCATTTTTAAAGAACAAAAATGAGTGTGTTCCATTCTATGTACTAATGCATAGTCATTATCTCAAAATGAATAGAGTTGTATTACCCTTGGACATAGGACGTATGAAGTCATTCATCAACTTGTCAAGCATGGTTTCTAGGCCAAAGTCATCAAGAACAGCCCCAAATTTGTTCATTGTGTTTGGTCGCATGATTTTGAATTTTGTCTCATGTACCCATCTTTCAAAGCTTTCTACCTATGCAATCAGAACCTAATAAGACAATATAAAAACCAAAAGAAGGAAAAAATAATACAGCCTACATAAAAAGAAAGAGATGATACCTCAGATAACAACATTTCACAGAAACGTGGCTGAACCATTTCAAACGTATAAATTCCCGGAGTGGGTTCAGAAATTATTCTTCTAAAACCCTCCTCAGTATTCTCGTTAATTGCCTGGAGAAAAGAGGGTACAAAAAAATTTACAGCTTGCATAGTATACAGCTGCCGGTGGCGAGGCTGCAAAGAGAAAGGGAGCAGTTAGAAAGAGGAAAAAAAGGCATATGTAAGCTGAGAATAGTAATTTGCATTTATAGGCTAATGCCAAGAGAAAAGAACTGTGCAATTCATGGGGCATCAGGATCTCATCCTTCTACAAGTACCAAAGAGGCACACTCGCAACTTTTCACCATGACACCTCAAGGAGATAATTACCAACATATCAAATCCAGTAATAAAGATGGGAACCTCTATAACACATATGATTGCACAACTTCAGGGTATGAGACGTCCAAGACAAAAAATCAGGTAAATCTACCTGATAGTTTGATATGATCTTCTGCCTGTATTCTCTATGCCTTTGAACCTATTCAAAGAAATGAAAAAAAATAATAATAATAAATAAGTAATAAAAAGTTTGAACAAGCTAAAATAGACACCATAAATGCGATTGGTACACCAATCTGAGCATACTACAAGCAATAAGAAACATTGACAAAGTTTAACTAAAACAAAAGTAGCTGAAATTAATACTTATTAGGACAACAAAAACAAATTTGATCTTGCAATTCTTACCCAAGTATATTCCGCCTTAGTTATTCTTAAACTAACACAAGAANTGTTCTTAATGTTTTCAGTTAGGTGGCACTGTAGCCATGAAATGGCTCAAAAGTGAAAATATGACTAAGAAACAACAGTTGAGTGTTGACAGATATCGATACCCCATAAGCGCAGGACCAGAAAGAGAGAAAACCGTGTGTTTACATATGATCACAGGGTCAGTAAATATATATATATATATATATATATGATCTACTTCAGTCAAAAGGAATCTGTCTTAAATTTAGCATACCTCTGGCTGAGTTTCTGAATTCACGTGGTGATCACATCGAACGCCTCGAAAGAACAATTCACCACCAGTAAATTCCTTGCCCAAGCAAACATTTAGGCTGACTTCTGAGTCATCTACATGGAAACCTGCAAAAATAAAGCTATTGATATCTCACCAAAGCTTATGAAGGTATAAATGTATTTCACCCAGAGTTTTGAGAAAACCGACAGACAAGGAAAAACATATCAAGTTAAGAAAATAGGAGAAGCTAAGAAGGTTGAAGTAAGCACCTACCAAGTTCAACATCCCTATCCATTCCATATTCAACAACAAAACCATGATGGGAATCCAGCGTTGATCCACCAACTTCAGGAAAGAGTACTACAAAGCATTTTTAAAGAACAAAAATGAGTGTGTTCCATTCTATGTACTAATGCATAGTCATTATCTCAAAATGAATAGAGTTGTATTACCCTTGGACATAGGACGTATGAAGTCATTCATCAACTTGTCAAGCATGGTTTCTAGGCCAAAGTCATCAAGAACAGCCCCAAATTTGTTCATTGTGTTTGGTCGCATGATTTTGAATTTTGTCTCATGTACCCATCTTTCAAAGCTTTCTACCTATGCAATCAGAACCTAATAAGACAATATAAAAACCAAAAGAAGGAAAAAATAATACAGCCTACATAAAAAGAAAGAGATGATACCTCAGATAACAACATTTCACAGAAACGTGGCTGAACCATTTCAAACGTATAAATTCCCGGAGTGGGTTCAGAAATTATTCTTCTAAAACCCTCCTCAGTATTCTCGTTAATTGCCTGGAGAAAAGAGGGTACAAAAAAATTTACAGCTTGCATAGTATACAGCTGCCGGTGGCGAGGCTGCAAAGAGAAAGGGAGCAGTTAGAAAGAGGAAAAAAAGGCATATGTAAGCTGAGAATAGTAATTTGCATTTATAGGCTAATGCCAAGAGAAAAGAACTGTGCAATTCATGGGGCATCAGGATCTCATCCTTCTACAAGTACCAAAGAGGCACACTCGCAACTTTTCACCATGACACCTCAAGGAGATAATTACCAACATATCAAATCCAGTAATAAAGATGGGAACCTCTATAACACATATGATTGCACAACTTCAGGGTATGAGACGTCCAAGACAAAAAATCAGGTAAATCTACCTGATAGTTTGATATGATCTTCTGCCTGTATTCTCTATGCCTTTGAACCTATTCAAAGAAATGAAAAAAAATAATAATAATAAATAAGTAATAAAAAGTTTGAACAAGCTAAAATAGACACCATAAATGCGATTGGTACACCAATCTGAGCATACTACAAGCAATAAGAAACATTGACAAAGTTTAGCTAAAACAAAAGTAGCCGAAATTAATACTTATTAGGACAACAAAAACAAATTTGATCTTGCAATTCTCACTCAAGTATATTCCGCCATAGTTATTCTTAAACTAACACAAGAATGCAGATACAAAATCCTCCTCCTACACCAAAATTAGCACCAAGTGAAACATACCACACCCAAACTTCTTCATCTTGACTCATAAATCATAACCTAAGGGGGCAGTACTATTACATGTATAACATTACCGGTCAAATTTTTCACAAATTGTAACACATTATTATTTTAAAAACATACAACACGTGATTAATAAGCGTTCACTTTCACCTTGCAGCAGCTCCGTAACATTCCACCAAATGCAGGATTCCAAACTCTTCTTTCTACACATTTTCTCAGCAACCAAACAAACCCTAATCAAACTAATCAAAAACACATTTCCACTCCCAAACAAATCACAACACAACAAAATAACATCTCATCCCTAATACACACAATCCAATTATTCAAACAAGCAAACAACTCACACACGTTCCATACAAACACCAAACTTAAGATTCAAATATTCCAAACCAAACTCTTCCTTCTCCACATTTTCTCAGCAACCAAAAAATCGCTAACTAACCAAAACCTCAAAAAAAAAAACAACATAACACGAGAAATCTCATATCTTAAAACACGCAATCCAATAATTCAAACGAAAAAACACAAATGCGATAAGAATTTTACACGTGTCCGTTCGCCGTCAGGCGAGTATCTGAGGAGAATATCGCGCATGTACTGGAGCTTGAAGTCACGTGACATGGAGAGCATAGTAGGAGGCAAGTATCGTTCAAGCGAGCTAAAGAGGTGAGGACTGAACTCCAAGGGGAGGTCATCGTAGCTATCGGGATTGTGGTCAGAGCTGGGGTTGAGCCTGAGCCGGTGCGTGGCCAAGCCCCTAGTTGGAGGCAAGACCACGGCGGTGGTAGCACCGTTGGCCGTGGACGGCGGCGCGTGGTTGCGACGGTCTATGGAAGCTTCTAGAGCCATAGGGTGACGGAAATTTGGTGGAGAGAGAGAGTTGAGAAGAGTGTTGAGTTTTGAGTTGTTCGGCGTGGGATTGATGATTGTGAAAGCTTTGTTGGCAGTGGGGCCCTTGATGACGTGGACTGTTGTGAGATTTTTTCTATATTTTAATATTTTTATCTTAGAATTAAGAGATTTTAGTAGAATTTTTTTTTTTTTTTTAATTGTCAAGAAAGAAAAAGAAAATTATTATCTAGCAATCGAGATGTATATATATTAACCAACCAATATTGTCGTGTCATCTTATGTATAAATGTCATGCATATCATGATTAAATATTCGTTGAAAACTTTCTTTTTCTTAAATTCAAAGATGACTTATTAATATCAAAGAGGGTTAATGATTTTTTTTTGGGTAGGGTTTATATCGACTAAACACGTTCAAGCCTATTGAATTATAAGAGAGGGTAATACTCTTATTCAACAAGGTCTTATTAAGTAAAAAGTTACACCCACCTCAAATTATATCATGGTATCAAAGTTCAAGTTCAGTAAAACTAAATGTTTGATCAACGGGTGAAGAGTTAGAGCCAACAACTACTTTTATTAATATACATGACCTAACATATGGGCTTGGCTGTAAGAGATAGTGTTAAAGTCCTACACCGACTAGACACGCTCAAGTCTGGGTTATAAAAAAAAGTAATCCTCCCATTTAACAAGGCCTTATTACATAAAAAATCAGACTCAGTTCAAATTCTATCGATATGTATAGTATGAAGCTAAATATATGCATGGTTCGACAATACTGATAGAATCTATATATCGATACTATTAAATAAGATCCAACAATAATGTCAAAATAAGATTATCGTTTCCAACCAAACCATTAGATCTCTCCAAAGATTCAACAATTTCAGATTTCATTCTAAATAGTTTGTACTCTGTTTCAATTTGAGAACCCAACTATGTGGATGCCAAGAAGTTAAGCTACAGAAAATTTAAGCTATTTTCCAATGGCCATTGTTTCCATTGTAAAATACATAGAAATGCAAATGCAACACACAAATAGTAACCAATTTTTCATAGTTTGGATTACAGAAAATGGGTGATCACAATAACACACATACATGTATCTGGATATCTCCCCTCTATCTGGGTATTCACAGTAGACTACCTTCCGTATACACAACAACCTGGTGAGACACGAAATGCGTCCTCTTCGCGATTAGAGTCTGTGAGGTCTGTATATGCCCTTGTCCTTTGAAAAACTAGACAAATTCCTTGAAGTGCCACCGCTGCTGTCGGCCATAGAGCCGTTGTGAGTCCTCGTGGCCAGCTCTGAGCTTTCAGGAGCAAACATCATATTCCTGTTCATCTGCCTCAGTGGCGATCCTGAGCTCATCGAGTGAGGTTGAGTTTGAGGCAAACCCATGTACTCATCCACTAAGCTATTTACTTCTGTCGGCTGGAGAACTGATCTCAGTTCTTGCTGCTGCTGCTGCTGATGCTGCGGTTGCTGCCAGAACTGCTGGTTGGTTAAGAGATATGCCATGTCTTGAACATTTGGTGGCTGGCTTGAAATTCCATCAGTGTTTCTCAGATATTGATATCCACCCATCAAAGTTTGCCCTTGGTGATCTGCTGCCCTGCGCTTTGCCAAAGCTGTAGCTGTAGCTGCAGCTGCATTTGCATTATCAGAAACACCACCAAAATGCGGCTTAATATCAGGTGGACTAGGTACACTGCTGCCAATATTGTTAAACTGACCCACATTGCCAATCCAAGGGAGTTGTCCTCCCATTGGAACACGATAGGAGCCTCCAACGTCCATAACATTATTCAAGGAACCACGACCGATATTTCTAAGGCCCTGGATGCCTCCACCCAAGTCTGGGATATTCAGGCCAGCCACAACTGCTCCTAAGTCTTCCTCCATTTTGATTTTATGAATGAGTTGTTGTTGCACCTGTCTATGCAACAGCTGGGACTGAGAACGATTCTGTTTATTCTGGTGCCATTGCTGCCGCACAGGGTTCAATTGAGCAGAAATGTTGGGCAGCAATCTCGATGAATTACTTCCAGACGGTTGTTGAGTTGACTGAACATTTCCAGGGTGAAGCAGATGGTCTCCAGTGTGAAGAGTCTTTGAAGGTAGTTGTCCGAAGTTACTGGTTAAAGCACCGTCATTCATGGGAGGGAGCATGGAAGCCGATAGCTGTGATGTCAAAGAGTGGGGTAAAAGCTGCTCAGGTGCTCCACCTGCTTGAGTAACTCCACCAGTAACAGTAGGATGTTGAGCTCTTGAGCAACCTTCAGTACTTGAGAGTTGAGGCTCCATGCTTTTACTGACTAGGCAGTAACCTTCACGTTCCATCTATAGAAAAGAAATGTGATCCAGTGCTGTGAATAAACATAATATTATTTCATGAAGGATATCCAAGGCAGTAAACCCACCAAGTAACTGAATTGTTTGGCAAACCGGTCCGCATAACGCTGCAAATGCATATACAATAAATGTCAGCATGATCAATCAATCTGTCCCGATATAGGTGTTTTATATACATGGATCAAGCATCGATGAAAAAGAAGTCATACAGAAATACAAATTTGAAAAAAAAAAAAATTCCTTAAAAGCTATTTCAACATAAAATTTGACCACTTATCAAAAAAGAAAACGATGTCATTTTCTCTTATGCAACTAATTTGATCCCAGTCAGAAAAGAAAAAATAAATAAATAAGAAAAAAGATGGAAGTTTATTATCACACTGACATTCCAATCTTAAAGTCGTCATCAAACAAACATTAGTAGGCAAACTTTTACATGTTTCCATAATTAGAAGACAATCGAAAACTATGAAGTACATAATCTCATGAAAAAACTTTGAGTTACAAAAGAAAGAAAGAACATTAAGTGATTGCATTAGGATTACCCCAGTGCAAGGAAAAGACGTTAGAAGAGGAATAACAGTTCCTTCTTGCTGTCCACAAATAATGCTGGCTTCCACAAATCCTTCATTTTGTCTTTTAAGCATAAACAACTTCAAGCAAGCTTTGCTGTCGATCACAGAAATATTGTTCCCTGAAATAATTGAAAAGTACTAATCACGAGAAGAATCAATCACTAAGTTTGAAATAAACTAAAAAAGAAAACAAAGTGACTTACCTTCATGGATTTGAGATTTGTGCCCAAATCTCAATGTTCGAGTCTTCGCCAAATTAACAACTGTGTCTGCAAAATTCTCTGATAGAAGAATTTCTTCAGTCCCATTGACTTTAGAAAATTCGCTACCGAATTTGCTAATGGAGAATGATCGTTTCTCCTGCAAAGTTTCTTCCACATTGCACTTTTTCTTATTCAATCCATTCCTGAAATATACGAAACAACACTTTTTACTCTTCAAAACGAAGCAGATAACAGAAGAAAGTCTTAACAGAATAAGTGGTACTATAATTTGGAATTTACCTTCGAGTAATCTCACTGATCATCAAAAACCTCTTGAGATCACCTTTAACTCCTGAGGCTTCGGGTAACTTAGGATTTCTAAATTGAAGTCTAATTGCACTGATTGCATTTGGATTGTTGGATATAGGTATATTATTACTCACATCCTTAGGGCATGAATTCTTTTTTCGCTTTGCAGATATAGAAGCCTCTCTTTGCACAGCCTCATTCTGATGAGAACTTACTGGTGCGATGCTCACACCAGCTGTAACCCGAGGATTTTGCAAAGCTTTCCTCTTTTGAATGGCAACATCCTTTTCAGAATTTTGGTCATGGGTAATCTGATTCCAAGATGAGTTGGAAGGAGGGATATTCGTTCCAAATACTGGTGATGGATGCTGCTTTAGTTGTAGAAGATTAGATCTATTACTTCTCGCATCCATACCAATGCAGCTATCCCTGATCCTTCTAACATCTAAACCAGTGAAGTTACTTGTTTCAACAGGTTCTTGTTTCACAGTAGTAGGCATTCCAGCACGCAGCTTCGGTATACCTTCAAGAACTGCCTGTTGACCACTATTTTTCGATAGTGAGGGGCTTCTCCTGCCATGAATTCTTTCATGTGGAACTATTCCAGCTTCAGGTTTCCAATGTGAGAAAGTATTATTTTGCTTCTGCAGCCGCCCGGCTGCGAACATGATTTCAGATTGACTCCAAGTAGGTTGCTGTGGAGAGAAATCCAAGGGCTCTTGCTTGGGAATCCTAAAGATAGGTCTTTGAATGGCTTGTGTTTCAAATGTGCCCTGCTCAGGAAGAACCGATGGAGTGGTTTCTTTCCTAAGAATGTTATGTCCACTAAAGCATTGCATTGGGACAGGAGAAAGATCCAATGGTGTCAGATCTACCATAGCAGATAGGTTGAAACCATCCACCATTTGATGGTTAGATCCCATTGTCAAAGGACTGGGCTGCAGTGTGGTCTCCAAAGTACCACTATCCTTTTGTAAATTCAGAACTGAGCTAGAAACAGTTGGCTGTGAACATGGAACACCTTTGTTATTTTGGCTGCTAATTGGGTTAGTAGCTGGAGCATCAGCTAACTTTCTCTTTTTCCTACCCCAGGTGATTCCCAAATCAAGCTGCAAAATTGCCAAATTTTAGTAAACATCCAATGGCATTTCATTATCATGTCTACTTTAAGAAACAATCCATATCGCCTTTATCCTAAATCATCTTGTAAGAGGAGAAATGTAGTCTTGGAAATTAGCAGGAAATTTTGAAAAAGTAATAACACTGTAAAACAATTATCAGATGAGTATAAACCAAGAAATATAATCAAATGCTGTCAACCCAGAAACAATTACTAATAAGTCGAGAATTTAGCAAAAGCTTGTGCAATTTTTTGGTCATATTGCATAATTTTTAAAAGTAAACCACATATGATAAAATCAGATTAAGGGGCCTTGAAAATTTAATCACACTTATAAGAGTTCAGCATGCCTCTGTACCTTCTTAGTCCAGGGTTCTATGCACAATCTGTCTCCATGCGCCTCTGGGTTCAGATGAAGATCAGGTTGCAAAGCCTTCCAAATGAGGGACTCAACTGTCTGAAATAAGAACAACGCTATATAAGATCATTGCAAAATGCTTAAAGTGCACATGAATGCTTACTAATCAAGATCACTGACCAATAGATCTTCATAGGACCAAGAATCATTTGACATTAAACATATGTCCTTTATTACATTTTCCATGCACATTTTTAGGAGCACTTTATGAACAACTGGAGATTTATCTACAGATGCAATACCCCTTCTGTGCAAACAATTGCGATAATCTTGAATCTGCAAAGAAAGCATCTCATTTAATTTAAAGGAAAGAAAAGTAAACAAATTCAAACAAAAAGAAACATTTATTCTCCAAAATTTCAAAAGGCAAACATCAAACCACCATTAGAAAATTGCAATACAGAAAACTCAAAGATTAGGAATCCACCGTCTACCATCCTTTATTCACATTCTCAAGCTAGATGCTATAAGAAGGACCTGTGCAGAAATCAGGTCATTGATCAACTAAATATTGTTTCAACTATCCAAGTTCCCCAACAATTCTCCATTTCAGATGGCTATGCACCAAGAGGTGGAAATACATGATGATGGCAGCATATAATTGAGACCACGAGGACACCCACACACATGTATCATTAAATCTATCAAGACATGAATATAGTAATACATCCAGAACTAGCCTGCATAATATAGTGGTCAAATATAAGTTCAATTAAATAAAAGCAACTGAAAAAGCATGAATAAGTTAAGTCCATATCAATTAATCTGGAAGTTATATAGTTACTTTCATACAAAACCAAAATTCCAGCACCAAATCTCAAGCAACACTTAACGAGAACATAGACTTTTGGACCAGTAGAAAAAGTCAGTGTTAGATTGGACTCTAGTTTTTAACCCACCTCACAAAGAATTGCGCCATCACTGTACTTGCAGGGTAACTTGTCAAAGAGATCTCCAGGCAACAGACCATACTCAATTGCCTAATGCGGACAAATACAAGGAATAAGACACAAGGAAAGCAAATAGATTCAGAAACCATGCATGTGACAGACATAAATTGATTCAGAAACCATGATATAAAACATCTAGAACTAATTCTACTGTGTGGGAAAGAAATGAGCACCTACATCATTCAATAAGGAGTGAGTTCAACAATTTTACATCTATGATACTTTCATATTTGGGCAAACCATATGGAGGGAAAAAAAGTAACTGCAGCTTACCGAACACAAATGTGAAAATTATCAAGTTCAAGAAAAAACTTACAGTGAAAATCGTTTCTGTTTCTTTACTATAAGGACACAACTTTTCCGGTACATAGTTGAAGAACTGCAATGGTATTAGAATACATAATGGCAGTTAATGGAAGAATCCTATAAAACAAATGAATTGAGGGGAAGAGAGAGAAAAGAAAAAAAAAAAGCTTTGAAGCTTCTGTTCATTTTAATGCTAACCTTAGAGGGTTCTCCAATGCAACAGCCATCCGTGAATAAATTCAGAGAAAAGGATAGCTCCATATCTGCACCAAAAGAAACTATCAAACATGAAGGACTTCTCAGAGCATCATTACATCATAGAAGTGGCTCATATTACCTTCTGTAACCAAATGCCTTCCGGACTTGGCCGGTACATTTGCATGATCAGAAGACTTCTCTCCTTTTCCAGTAAAATTACCCTACATTGGAACCACAGTGCTTAAATTACACTTATAGAGACAAAACTAAAAGCAAAAATTCTCGTGCCTAATTTTCTCAGGTTTATCAATACTAAATTACACAAACAGATTAGAAAGAAAAATTGTTAAAAAAATAAGGAAACATATTCACATTTTGATGGACTCCCAGTTGGAAAAAACCGTACGCCACAATAGAGATCTACTGAACCAGAAAACAAATAATTGCACGATTTATACTGAAGCAGAAAAAAAAAAAAGTACCACAGAAACTGATTTCATCAATAATTAATTAAACGGTTGGATCAAAGGAAATAAAAAAGCAAGAAAAGGTCTTGACAAGGTAGAAATAAACCTAAAGAAACGATCCATTAGCCTTTTACACTGCATATGATAGCACAGGCTTGACATACTTTAGAAAGGAATCAAATGGCTCCTTTTTAAGGGCGAAACAATTGCTTCAGTTGATGAAACAAAAGATCAAAAATAAGAGATCTTTCACAAATACAAGGTGTGTGATTATGAAAATTAGAAACCAAAAGAGAATACAAAGAATTTTGATGATCAAGACAAGAATGCTTTATCGGAGCATCACCCTTTAAAAACATACAAAAGGGTGTAAAAATATCAAAAGCACATCATTCTTCGAGGAAATCTTGGAAGCAATTAAGAGAGGACTTGTTAAACATTTCTTAAACCATGATGAGAATACAAGAACCAAAGGGCATTTCGAACATGCTTAAATCTAATATAGTGTTATCATTCATCAACCTAGAACAAAAACTCTTCAAATGAACTCATAATTAACATTAAAAGAAAAAAGAAGCCAAGCCAAGAAAAGTATATTGCATGTTTATCTTGTTTCTTCAAATCTAAGTAGCAAAAGAAATATATGAAAAACTACCATGAATCCCTAATTATTTGGCCTGAACAGATAATAATCACGGTTTAAAATTCTCAGCAAAAACTCCCTTCAAAGAAACTCAAGAAAACCAAGTTCTAAAACATGATTAGGGGAAATTTTTACAGATCAAAAACACACTCTTTCAAGTACATAAACCACAAAGATCAACATAAAATTATGGGGCTATTGTTCATCAAGTTAAAAAAACACATCCTACTTACACTACACTTTTAACTAAACCAATAAAAAACCACCACCACAAAACACAAATGACAAAACCCCAAAACACCATCCAAGTTTCTTAACTCACAGACTCAAAAGAACACAAAAACAAACTCAACCCACTTCACAAAAACCAAAACAATCTCAACTCAAACAAAACCAAGTTCAAAAACATGATTAGGGAAAATTTTAACAGATCAAAACACTCTTTCCAGTACATAAACCACAAAAATCAACATAAAATCACGGGGCTTTTGTTCATGAAGTTGAAAACCACTTGGTTCTTGTGCATTTAAACCAATCATTTGGTTCCATCATGATCACCCAAACCAGTTAGTTACCTTTTACCCCCAAAACAAACTACAATCTGCAACCCAAAAATGAACACACACTACTAACAATTGACTTTTTAAGTTTTAACCAAAAAAAAAAAAAAATACCACCAACACAAAAAACCCCCAAAACACTATCCAAGTTTCTCAAAAAAAACACACAAACAAACTCAACCCACTTCCCAAAATAAAAAACCCATCTCAACTCAAACAAAACCAGAACCAAAAACCCACTTCCACAACAAAAGACACCACGTTCCACACAAAAATGATCCCAAAACCCAAAAAAAAAAGAAAAAAAAACACACCACAACTCCACCAAACCAAAACAAAACCATATACCTCACCAAACCCAACCTCAGGCTCAATATCCCAGACTCCATTTCCGTCCACGGTGTCTACCACCTCCTGGCGGTACCTCTTACGAACCTTACCAAGCTTAAACGACACACCCATGACTTTCAGTGAGTGATTTCAACAAACACTTTGGATTTGTGAGTGAGTGAATAAGTGAAGCGAGAGAGAAAGAAGACACAGTGGCCTAGCCAGCCAGAACTGTGTTAACTCGTCTTTTTAAACTTTCAAAGTTTTACGTTCTTGCTTCGATTAGTCCGTGTTTTATAGGCTCTGCCAACATTGCCATGAACGCTAACGTGTTTGTGTCCTTTCCTACTTCGGACCCCCTCAACTTTGCGTTTTTTATTTTTAGTACCTCAAGAGTTTTGAATTTACATTCTTTTATCAAAAAAAATATTGAGAGATACAAAATTGAAAATTTTGTGTGAAGGTTCAAGCTTTATAGTCAATTTTTTACAGCATTAATTTTTTAGTAAATGGGAATTCAGATTATTTACAAAAAAAAAAAAAAAAAAAATAGTAACCTTTATATACATTATTGGTTCATTGTCCTTTTACGATTTGGTTAATAAGTTGTGTCTAAATTTACTTTACATACCTTTTAAATTTTTAATTTGCCCATAATTTATCAAAAACACTTAAAATGGGAATTTTTAAGGATCCTATACTTCACTAAGTATAACATTCGTGGGTGGTTTATTAACCTATAGGCTCCCTTTCTTTACAAACTGGTATTAAGGGGAGTTTTGTAAGTCCGTAACAGAATTTACCATTTAGAAGAATAACACAAGTTAAGAGATAAAAAAATTTAAAAATTTTGTATAAAGTTTCAAATAAACTTTATAGTTATTTTTTGACAAAAACAACTAAATGCAAGTTTGGATAATTAAAAAAGAAAAAGAAATTTATAGTAACCTTTTTTAATTGATAGTGTCCTTTTGGGGGGTAATTTATTAATTTTCCTTTTTGGGCTTAATTGCCAATAATTTAATTTAAAAAGATAGCAATAGTGTAAATTGAGAAATAAAATCTGGAAATTGAAACTTTAATAAATTTTAAAAAAAAAAGTTATCTTTTTTTAGTAAAAAGACAAAAACTTTCTTTATTACCATTGAATTTTCTTAACCATTTTAAGTTTAAGTATTTACACATATCCTAGTGGGTGCAGTGTACTATTTGCATTTTGAGTCATTGAACTATTAAAAATTACAAGAAGGCCCTTTAGGGTTTGGAAATTGCCCAATTGGGGCTTGAGTTGACCAAGAATTGAAAAAAGGGGGTTTGTTTGTTTGTTTGTTTGTTTAATGTTTGTTTGTGTACTTTATGGATTTGGTGGGTCTATTTGTGAGAAAAGTCTAAAGCCATTTTGGCATATTTATTGTGCATGAATGAAATGTGTTGGGGATTCGTAAATAAGGAGATTTTGTGTTATCTTGGGATTAATTATTAATTATTTAATTAAGTTAGAATTTGATTTGGTGTGGTGGAGGTCCATTGTCTTTATAGATGTTTGCCATTGTGATTTTCAGTTTTTACATTTACCCTTTTTGCAAAGCATTTCCCCATCCTGACCGACGTGGAGTGCGATATCCCTTACGTCGCACTTCACATTAGTTAGGATGGAGAGTCGGTTTCCAGAATTGATAAGTGTAGTATTTTTTTTATATATTTAATAATAATTATTAAAAAAATTAAAAATAAAAGAAAGCAAAAAAGTGGAGATTTGAAATCCGTACGGTGATGATGATGCAATGGATTAAAACCTAGAGCTATAGCTTTCCTTTTCTCAATGTCTTTCGCTTAATTATTGCAAAATGGCAGCCTTTGCTATTCTATGCTTCCCACAAGCAGAACCTGTCAAATAAAAAAAATCAAAAATAATTATTAAATATTATATTAAACACATTTTTAAATATTAAATTATTAATTATTATAATTTTTTTAATAATGAAAAGAAGGATGAAAAGGGTAATAAGTTTATTATGATTTGAGAGCAGTAGTAAGCAATTTGGTACTATACCATATTAAAATTTGTAATGAACGAGAAAATTATCTATGTGACAAATGCACATATGAGCATCTAATTAATGTACATCACTTAAGTATAAAAAACTTGTACGAGAGAGTTTCACCATATCATTATCGTTCTATTAACATGGTAATATCTAGGGGTGTTCAAAAGCGGTTAACCGAATCGGTTAACCGTTTTTTTAAATCGAACCGGTTTTTTGGTTCGGAAAAATTTTTTAACCGAAACCAAACCGGTTTGGAGGAAAAACGGGTTTTTCGGTTAATTAGTTTTTCCTTTTTTTATAAAACTTTTTTTTTTCCTAAATTCAATTGTAAATATAAATAATACATACCCAAATAAAAATTAGACATTCATATATATCCATTGACCACTACTAACGAAACATTAAAAATATTATTATTTTTTATTTAATATATAATATTATTATTTTTCATTTAATATATAATATTTATTTTTATTTAATATATAATATATATATTTTTTTTTTTTTTGGTAAAACCGATTCAAAAAACCGGTTTCGATTAACTGTTTTTTATTTTTTCCCGAACCGGTAACCGAACCAAAAATTTGGTTTTTTGAATTTTTCGAACCGTTTTTTCAGTTAACCAGTTTTTCAGTTCGGTTTGGTTTTTGTATTTTTTTGAACACCCCTAGTAGTATCCATTATCTAATAAAATACGTAATTTTCAATATCACCTATCATATGAATACTTATTGATGAATGATAAAGAATATTAACTGATCAGACATAGTGATAAGTATTGCTCATTGCATTTATAAAGTAAGATAATAAGACTATATCATATAAGTATTCTTTTATCAATACGTACAGATAACATATATGCATTCATCTATTCATAGATAGTCTAAATGATTACAATGAATTAAATTAGAGGTCGCGGCTTGAATACAATATAAGACAAACTTTATAACCCATAAAAGAGAAAACGTGTACTTAAAAAATTAGCGTTATTTTAAGTATTTGGGGAAAACTTTTGGCATCATTCAAGCAAACAAATCGCCCGCATCATTACAACCTTCCACTCTTTTCTCTCTTTCACCCTCCACTATTGTTCTCCCCATTATTCTTATCCATTGGACTTGCATAATATATCAAGCATTCAAGCCCCTGATTTTTAAGGTTTCGGACGTGTCATTGTATGTTGCGTTCGATCGGAATCTTGAATAGTTATCGAGTTGAGAAGAATATAACTTTTAGGGTTTGATTGGGTACACATTTCCTATCCGTTGGATCCGCATAATATATCAAGCCTTTTATTTTTAGGGTTTTAGTTGTTCTTCGGTTCAATCAGAATCTTGAATAGTTGTTGAGTTAATGAATGTCGTTGGATTGAAAACTTGAGAAGTAGGGTTTTGGCTGTGTTTTCGATTTTGTATGTTCAATCGGAATATTGAATCGTTAATGAGTTGATGAATGTTGTTGGATTGAAAACTTGAGAAAGAATATATCATTTAGGGTTTGATTATTGTATACACTTTGGAGTATTGTGATCCCACATCTTGGATTTATAAGGGTGGTAAACAGCATCACCTAATAGGTTATGCTAATCTTTTGGATAGTTAATAAGCGTTTGGTTTACTATAATAGTTTCAGTTTAGTTGAATCTTGAATAATATTCACGTTTGATTTGTTATTGAAAATCTAATGATAGAAAACTTAATTAGTATAGAATTTGATCATGGTATCCATTTCTTTTCGCTTGATTGAAATGTAAAATAGATAACATCTTGATAAATTAATAACCTCTATTATATAATAATTTTCTCACGGTCCTTGGGTTAATAGGTTAAATTAATAATTTTAATAAAATAATCTTTTTCTAGAAAACCTTACTGTAGTCTTATTTATATTATAAATAAATAATTTGCTAATTGTCTATAATATTTTATTAAAGATAATTTTTAATCTAACTCATTGAATATATTTAATACAATTAAAGATATAAAGTACAATGAATACATTTAATTTAATTCAATTCAATTATACACGCATATTTTTTTGTTGAATACTTTTAATTAAATTAATGCAATTATATATCATGAATATTATTTAGTTAAGTACTGTAAGTACAATAAATATTTTTAATTAGGTACATAAATATAATGAAATTTAATTAATGCTTTAATGTATATTTAGTGGATTAATTCATATTCAATTGATCACGTTGGTAAAACATAATATTTTTTTAGTTAATAAAATTTTAATTTATCGATTAATTAATACCTATTTTAATTAACAATTTATATAGTCTCAAATCTCAATGTTATTAATTTACAGAGGTTTTACTATACATGATTTAATTTGCTATTGAAAATTGTTCGAGAATAATATACTCTTTTAAGATAGTGGGGCTCAAAGTGCATACCTTTCAATTCAAACCCATTAATTCGTAATATTGATAATTATTCTCTAATCAAAATTTATAATAGTATTTGCATTTGAATCTTTTTTATACCAATTTTGATTGGGATCGATCTTTAATATTATTTAAGAGTAATATTACATTAACAATTTTTTCTTATAACCCTGACATGACAACTCGTAATTAATTAATTAGACCCATATAGGACCCATGCGAAACTCATTGTGAACTGACCAATTATGAGTTGTTGCGTTAGGATTGTAAAAGAAAATTTATGAGAGTAGGTTATTGGTGTAGTATTATTCATTATCTAATTGTCCAAATTCAATTTAATATTTATGGATTGATAAATTTTGTTAATACTTTTCTTTCTGAACAATAATTTTCTTATTATAAATCTATTTACTACAAGAAACAAATGAAATGCAGATTCACGTTTCACTTTCTACATTTCATGTGCATTTGAATCGTTCTGACTTTGTGTTACCGTTACCACAATATTTCATAAGTCACATGTTTTAAACATCAATTATTTTATGAAATTTTCGTAGTACCTTCTCAAATTATATTTTTATAGAGTTTAATTTACTCCCCTGAGGTATGATACAATAACCAAAATCCCTTTAAGGTTTTTGAAATAACATTAATCCCCTTCCCGTTAAGTTTCAGATGTTGAAATAAAC